GAGATACTGAGATTACAATGTCCAAAAATGCACATCCCTCGTTTCTCTGAGATGCTATATTCGATCGAGTTGAAAGTTTTTTTTTTTAAGAAGTATGAAACACTATTTAGTATAGATATTTTTTGTCCTTCGAATAAAAAATGCTAAAAAATATTAAAGGTATCCTAAAAAAATGCATGCTTTTTTAATAGAGCTACCAAAAATCAGTAGAAGGAATGTACTCAGTAGATAAATTCTACTTCAGACTACACAATGGCAATAAAAATTTTGGGTCATGAAAGAGGTGGATGTGATACCATTAAACAAGATTTAATTAAACAAAACAATTGAGATATAAATGTAAATTGATATACGAACTTTTAATTTAATAGAAAAATAATATGAGGAAACTTTCGAGTATTTGTATATGTGCTTGAAATGATCCTTTGTATCTGTGATTGCAAATGTGTAGATTTATAATTTGTTCGAAATAGTAAATATCTCTTAACAAAAGGAAACTTTTTTCGACCTCTTCATAACTGTTTCTTATCGAATTATAATTCATTTACAGTGTTCGTATTATCTCTTTAGTTTATAATAAAATTAATATTCTCAAATATTTTATCTATTTCCATCGCCTAGATTATATCGTAAAATTTTGTACATTCAAAAAAATTTTTCTTACATATTTGATGATTGATTAATAGTTTTTTACTGTTGTACAATCATTTTTTACAATATCATATAATTCTTTTAAGATATTGAGATAACATAAGCTAAAGAAAAAAAAAGATAGTATTGAGAGACGACATTTATAAATAAAATAATACCAACTTCAACAGATTTTTCCCATTTAAATTCTTTTGATCAGTTCGATTATTAGGTGCTTCATGTTTTATTCATAACGTCTTTTTTTCTTGTGTTACTGAACTTGTATAATCTTCATCATCCTTCAAATAAGTATTTATTCTCTTCAAATAGAATTATATCTACAGCGAAGATAGTTTCAAATGTTTTGTATCTAATATTGAATCGCCTCCTAATAAGTCACCATTATTCACAACATTTATTTCATTCACTTTTACTGATAATCATATTGGTGTAAGCATTATACCATATTGAATTATTATTCAAAAGATGTCATTGTAAGTCATGAATGAAATCGAATAGTTTGTTTGATGAAAGCACCATCACAACACGAATAAAAATGGCTGGTAATCAAGGTTATTGAATACATTTGTTCTTTATAAATATTAACAAAGATTACTTCAAGTGCGAAGACTGATAAATTCCATTTGAAAATTGAAAATGACTGACCGAACACAATCATCAATACAAAATGTATCATCTTGTCTTCGTTCACAATCATGTCATGATAGTCGAGATAAAGTTAATCGTATGAAAGAATAAAAATTTATGTTCTATCTTTTATATTCATCTCTATTATTATTAGGAACAGTTAGTGCTTTACATCGACAAACAATTGATCGTGCTCAACGTCATTTTGAAAAACAATTAGCTAAAAGTGAACGTGAAGTACAATTAGCTATGAATCAACGACGTGATTATTCATCATCATCTGCTGAAAAAATTCAAGCAACACAATATCTTGAACATCTTCGTTCAACACTTAATAATGATTATACACAACTTATTCAAGTAGGTGAGCTCTTTTTTTTTTTCTTCTTTTGTTCTTATTTCATTATTTTTATTTGTTCAAATTAAATTATTTCGAATAAAAAGATACATAATAAATTTCATACAGGCTTATGTTCATGAACATAAGGTAAGTATTTGGCTATCTAAATGCTTTGATTATTATATCTTCTTCTTTGCTCTAAAATAAATGCTATATCAGTGTTGTTCATGGATTATATAAAGGTAACTCTGACGCTTGTTCAACCAAAGTAGAAATCGAAAACAAAAGAAAAAAAAAATTCCATTTCAATAGTTTTTGACTGTATTTGCATTATAATAGGTAACGTAAATCAAAGAAGTCATATATTTTACTTGCAAATGAATAAGTATTATATCGTAACTATTAGATTTAGCATTACTTGATAGGTTATGTCAAATACAAAACAGGAAAAAAAATATCAGACTATTTTCAATTAATAGGAATAGAATATCAGTTTAATGATGCGAGAAAACGAGTCTGTATCCGGTCGGCGATCAAATCTGCACCTCCTTCTGTAGAGTTCATGCTTATTACGTCGTACTGAATGATATTAATTTAGCCGAACAAAAAAAAAAAGAACATTCAGAAGAAAATGTTCAAACAACCTTTATTCAAGCTAAAAATACTAAAAACGAAAAAGCTCAAGGTTTTGTTAAGAAACCATATTATGATTTCTCGTCTGTTTCTCTATTTGATCATTGTTTATATGAATTACAAAAAATTCATACATGTTATAAGTAAACAAAAACTCGAAGACAAAAATAGATTTTTGATGAGTACAATATATTTTCAATTCTATTGATTTTTCTTATAAGAAGTACTGACGCTTTTTTTGTTTTATTATCGATTGATCAATATTTCTTTTTCTTAGATGTAAACAAAATTTTCAATTTGATAATTAAATTTGTCTTTGACAATTCGATTTCTTTTTTACTTCGGCTAAATTAATACTTTCTGCCGATCCTCTTCATTCGACAATAATTTTCCATGTTCTCGAAATAATTTCTCGCGAAACAAAACAATCGACATGAAATAACTGTTGATCTAAAGCTTTTATTATTTACAATAACGACAAAGCACACAAATTTATTTCTCATATCTGAATAAAATTTCAGAATTTCTTTTCTCAAATTGAAAGAAGATCATTCTGAAAGTTTTATTATTTAAGCTTCACTAATATTCTTTTTTTTTTTTTTGCTTTACTTTATACACTATCGAAGTTACATAACTTCTTTATGTTAAGATAGAAAATCTAATGGATTTTTGGTTTTTTTTTTTTTCTTTGAAAAGGATAAGGTTGACGAAATAGAAAAACATATGAATCAACGTCATGGCGAAGAATGTCAACTTGAAAAAACAATAGCTCAGCGAACACTTCAAGTAATAACAAAAATGAAAATAAGTTTTTTTTTTATTTTTTTACATTGTTTATTTTTATCTACATAGGAAGCTTTACAAGAAGCTCAACTTCAAAGTGAAAAAATTCGCCTTGAATCAATTAATCAAGTAATACGTGAACGTGATGCAATTTGTGAAGAAAAATTAGCTGCTCAAAAAATGTTAGAATATCTTTTATTAGATTAATTTCATTGTTTTTTTTGTAATTAATCTAAATCTATTTAGTCGTTACAATCGTCTTCTTGATGAACAAGCTCAACGTTTACGTGCTGAACAAGTACTTCAAACAAATGAATCATCAACATTTATTGAACATATTGATATGGCAGAATTAAAAGGTCGTTTAGCTCGTGTAGAATACGAACATCGAGAATTAAAACAATTAATAATTGATTTACGTACAGATCTATCGGATATATTCATTCAACAACCAAAATATAGAAGTACAGTTAATATACCAAATTTTGTTGTTAAACCATAGGTGCTTTTGTTTTTTTCTATAATTACTTTATTTACAAAAAGAATACATTAGATTTGATTTTTAAAAAGAATTAATCTTGTGTTTTATATCTAATATTAAAAACAAAAATTAATGTATTATTCAAATTGATTATTGTTTGAATTTATAAGATATTTGAATGTAAACGATGAGAATTATGTATTCAGAAGAAATTTAATTCGAAAGAATAAACTATTGAACTATCTTGATTTTTATGTTATATTCTAAATTTAATGAATAATTGTGATTAATAATTAGATGGCAACAATATGATTTTTGAGCGTTTTTTTGTTTGTTTGTCATAATTGAATAGAACACGTTGAGTAATACATCTAATAATATTCGAACAATGTTTTTATAATAAAATTACGTTGAAAAAAAAAATTAGGAAAGCTTTTAAAAAGTGAAATACACAAAAAAAAACATTATGTGTTTCCATAGCCTCAATCTGTACCCAAAATTAGTTTTTTGATTTACTTGTTATATAGTTAGGAAAAAAAAATTACGCATAATTTTTGAAAAATATTATTTCATTGTTAATAAGAGAATCGATTTTTTTCCCTCCTACATTTCTATTCAGAGATTTTTACCATCGAGAATTTGAGTTCATAGTGAAAAATATATCCTTTCATTATGATCTTCCAATGATCAGATTTGTGGTTTCTTGCAGAACGAATTTTCTTTTAAGTATTGAGTATCCTATTTGATACAGAGATTTCTGTTGACATTGAATATAAATTCGTACTTATAGGGATTTGTTATCATATTAAAAAGCAATCGATTTTATCCTACATAAAATAATATTTTTCTCTAATCATATGATGAATATAAGAAAAAAGTTTCGAAGAAAAATTGAGTCTACCGAGACTTGATGCTTTTGGCAAATTATAAATTGTAAAAGCGTCTCTGAGTTTTTTTCTCTCGCCTAATTATTATTACAAGAACATTGTTTGAATATGTAAAAAAGAATATTTTTAGATATAAATCAGCCAAAGAACATATTTTGTAATTGAAATATTACGTATAACTACAGATTGTATGAAATTACGTATGCAAACAATTCGAGTGGAAAAAGAATGTAACATCTAGTACTACATCAGCTTAAGAACAAATTAAAATTATTAAAAAAACACACAGCACTCTTGTCGATATTTGAATAAACATCACAATGATGAACATAATCAATAAATGACCTTTTTTTTCAATCATGTTCTTCTACCAATGCGCAAATCAAGGATTGTTACTTTTTACACTGCATCGGCGCATAATGTATTATTTTTCTTTCAGCGCATTAGAGCTCATCAAGATTGTTGAGATGTATATGTTGCCATCGAGAAAAAAAAACTGAGAAAGAAAAAAAAATACCTTATGCAACATTCAATTTCAATAACACAGTATAAGACATATACATCACTTTGATTCACATTATTTCTTTACCACTTATAAATGACAACACGACCTAATACAGTTTCAATGAATCCATCATATATACAACATCCACGACATAAATTAAAAAAATCAACACGACATCCAGATTGTGTAACACCTATTCGAATTGATATACGTCGATCTGAAACGACATTATCACCTAATGATGAACTTGAATGTCGTCAAATCTATGAAAAATTACAACGATTACAACCAAATGGTGTTTGTGTTGATCTTAATACATTACGTCGTGCACTTTTTCCACCGATTTCACTTCCAAAAAATACAAGCGATCAACTATTAACATTCAAAACTTATCGTCAACGGTAATTAAATTCAATATAAATATTTATTTGATTTTTTTTTAATTGTCTTAGTACCAATGAAATGCCACATATACGAACATATGATCTTCCGAAACAAACAAAAGTAAATAAAATAGATTATATGAATATTGATCGAATTATTAATCAAGTTAAAAAACATGCAGCAATTAATTATAGTTATTATACACGAACTAAATAAAAAGAATATATATATATATGATTGTTTGTTTTTTTTTATATTGCAATCTCAATGAAATTCAAATTTAAAATATGATGAAATATATAAGAATCTTCTTTTGTCACATCTATCATATTAGAGATATTTTTCACGATCCATATAGTGAAAATGATGATGATTAAGCTAAATTGTTTCTGGTATCACACTAATGTTTCATGCAAAAAGACGCTTTGCTTTAGTCTTGTAAAAAACAAATAGAAGCAAATAATGCATGCAAATTTTATCTAAATAAAGATTTATGGATTACAAAAATAACGGAAATAATAAGAAAATAAATAGTCTCATCTATTTACAGAATACATAACTATTATAATATCCTGTTTGACTAAATTCAATGAATAACAATACTGAGAATTTATTTTTGGTTATGTCGTATGTTTATTTGTTTTTCGGTATAAATTAATATATTAATTGCATTCTTACAACGAATCTTTGATAAATTATTCGATTCTTCTGCTGTCACACATACTTAATTCTTTCCAATAAACTTTCTCATTTCCTGATCGTTTGACATAGTCATTGTCGACGATAAACAGAACATTAAAGCTTTTCATACGATTCCATACGATAATCGTATTTCACTACAATCCTATCTGTAGACATGTAACCACTTACAGACAACATAATAACATTCATTTACGGTCTACATTATGCTCAATATTTCTTCTTTGACATTTCAGATTTGGACGATTATAGTACTAAACCATTTAAGATGTACAAATCGAATTGCGTATGTAGAAATATTCAAAGAAAGATTACTTTATTTTGTAAGTCAAGTAACTCTAGACTATATCCTATGGAATATGTAATCGATTCAGTGAATCAAATTTTGTTGAATACAATATTGTTGGAAACTATCCAGTTGCTAAGAAAATCCTCTTGATAAGTGTATTCAGCATGAGAATTTCTTTCCATTTTGATGTATGTATGACATTGAGAGCTATAGTCATCCTTTATCAGACATACTTGACAAGCTTCTCGAAAATTGAGAAATATCCTCAAGATACATGAGCTTGAGAGAATAACTTTACATGTCAACCTAACTGTTTTTGAACCTGAAAAAATTTACTAAAATCATGATAGAATAACAAATTCGCATCACAAATGTAATTCAGTGTTCATGTCATGTCCATATGAGAGCTCTAAAAATTGAGTTCCGATTATGGTTATTATATATCCATAATTGGGGTTCTGATTACAGATACACAATATTGTTACATTTCTTCACTGAAAAATCATATATTTTAACCTTCTGACCATACAATTCAACTCATAGGTGAAACTTTTCGCGTTATTGAATCTCATTTATTGATATCACTAAATGTATCAATAGATTTTTTGAGTGTTGCCGTTAATAATAAAATTCATGATAAAGAAAAAGAATTTCAAAGAAAACGAGGCTGAGTGGGATGCTTATATAGTGTAAAGCATTAAGAAATTATTTTATGTAAATTATTTCTCATTCAAGTATCAAAAAACGTGACTTGAAGGTTTTAGTTTTTTCTCTCACTTTTTCTTTCTCTTTATTGATTAAAAAATTAGATAAAAAGGGTATATATATATATATCGTTTACTACATAACAATTCTACAAAACAAGCAACGAGAATATATTGCCAAACTAGATCATGCGTCAATCCATTGTGAACATTGTCATTATTATAGTTATTCTTATGTATATCAAATTATATGAAAGTAAACCGGTTACATATGATGACATGCAGTTAGGTGAAATTGACCATCACATTGCTCGTGCCGTATGTTAATTAACTTGTTGAAATAAAGAAACAAAAGTTAATGAGAATATTTTTTTAGAATTTATTAAATGCTCCTTTATTTGCTGAACAAAGTACGATAGATACAATGCGAAATAAACGAAGTGAGTTTAATAAAAGAAAAAAGGTTTTTCAAGAAAACGAATATAAAATTTTTCATTTAGATTGTTTTCTCTATGCGTCTAAAGCACAAAATCGCGCACCAAAATGGATGTGTTGGTAATAAATGATACTTGTCTAGAAAATGTTTAGATGTTGTTTTTTGTTTTTTTTTTGTTTTAAAATAAACAAAAAAACAACTTTATTGTTGTCTATTTATGATATTAGATAAAAAATGAAAAGACTATTTATGTTAAATATTTCATTAACTCAAAAGAAAATTAATAATTAATAAAATAAAACTGATTATACGTATAAATATAAATGAATTAATTTTTTTGATATAATGGAGACTTACTCCCTTCTTAAGATGTTGATTTTTTTTTTGACTTGTTTGTAGAACAAATGAAACTACATATACTCTGAAATTTTTTCAAAGAACAGCTTTGTTTTGACAGAATTACATGTCCTTAGAGAGTAAAACAATTTTCGAATAAAAGATTTTAATTTAATTTTTATGTGGTTGGATAGAGTAACCAAAATTTGATGACGCATCTTTTGAGCAAAACAGATTGTTTTTATAATGTACTATAGATCTGATATCACAGGCAAGATTTTTAAAAAAAATGTAATTTAACAGAAAAATCGATGTTTCTCTGGGAATACTCATTCAATCATTGTAAAAATTTCAGAGTATATGCAGTTTCATTTGCTCTACAAACTGATCAAAAAAAATCAACATCTTAGAGGAGAGAGGGGAGTGATAAGTCTCCCCCTCAAAATCTATTGCGTTTTATTTAAAATAAATAGGATATGACATTTAACATTTAATATTTACTGTTAGTTATCTGTCTCAAAACTCTTCATGATTTTGATTAATATTTAAAAGACAAATATTTAATTTGACGACGTTTTTTTTTCCCATTCTAGATTAAAATTATTTAAGAATTTAGTAGACTTATAAGCAATGAAAACTAGAGTGAAAAAACTTTTTTTTTTTACACAAAATAAATCCAAAATATCTTCATTATTTATTGATACAAAAAAAAACATCAGCCGTGACATTTGTCTTTCTCCTGGATTTTATAAAGAATTCTTCTTTGTAAACAAGTAATTTGATATGTAGACGTACAACATAACCATGACTTTATCATTAGCTATTCTGTTACTATTTATTAATTTTAATAGTCTTCAGTTTTATTATTTTATTATAATATATCACGATCATTTCAGCAAAACTGTTGTCAAATAAAAGAATCAATTAAAATTTCTCAAGTAATTTAAATAAAAAGAATACAAATACTTACATGATATATGCTAAAGTCATTAAGTAAAATAATGAAAAACTACCATTTAAAACGATTCATTAAACTCTCATTATTTCAGAAACTTTCCATGACTTTTCTCATTTAGTCAAGTAAAAAAAGCCTGATTTTAAAACAAGAATTCAAGAGGAAAAAAACTTGAAGGACAATATGCCTTGATAACATCATCAGTAAATTTGTACTCTTTATTGATATGTCAAATATATTAACTAAATATGATTTATATTGCATGTAGAAGAGAATAAATGATGATCATCATAATTTTTTCAGTTTTCAATATAATCTTTTTCATTTTCTAATAATCAATTTAACAATGATAAATTTCTCACATCACCTTTTTTGAATATCTGACATATTTTAATGTTTTCCCAATACAGCTCGATTATCATGTTTTTCCAGAGAAAAGTTTCAAACATGTCCGATATTCAAAAGGTGATGTGAATGGAAAAACTTGTCATCGTTGAATCAAAATTGTTAGGAAATAGAAAAGAAAACTATTTTGTTTATTATTTAATCTGATTTTCTATTTTGTATTGCAAGAATAGTCTAAACATTAAGAGAGCTTCCATGAGCTGATCGAGCATCGCTCTAATATACGAGGCACTCGATAAAATTTTTTTTTCGATTTTTTTTGCTCATTCAAAACGTCAATGTCTAAAACTACTAACCCTAAAATTTTAGGTTCTAATACCCTTCCTATGAAAAGTTAGCCAAGACCAACTTTTGGCACTATCGGGCCTTTTTGTAGAAAAATAAGAAAAAATATTGTATAAAAGATGTGCTAGCTTGCGTTTCAGCAAATCATTGAAATTTTTTGTGGTATACATAGGAAGATAGAGAATTGAAAACTGAATAAAATGAGCTAGATTGATATAATATAATTGCTAACAATTGAAGTTTTATAGAGCGAATATGAGTCAAGAGGTGATCCTTTTGATCAGTTCAAATAAACAGTATAATTCGTGCTGTGTTTCAGGATTAAGAGATCCCAGGCTATATTTTATATACGTTGTGCAGCTTTTTATTCTCTACAAAATGGTAAACAAAATATTTGAAAAAAAAGTACCCGCTCGATGCGAAAAAGGGTTTATACTGCCTAATTTTTTATGGTTTTTCAATAAAAAAAGAATATTTTTAGAGGTTTTTTTGTCGTAGAATAATGCCAAAGCAAAACAAATGTGATATTCGAAATCAGCGTGAAAAACTGCATCCAATCATATACATTTCGCCCAAAAATTTTTCCCGGCCAAAACTGGCCTCTGGTCCCCCACAGCTATATTTAAAAGAAAATTTTCTCCCTGTTCCCCCTCAGGTCCATTTTGGCTAGGAACAGTTTTTGGGCGAAACGTATATGGTTGGATGCAGTTTTTCACGCTGATTTCGAATATCACATTTGTTTTGCTTTGGCATTATTCTATGACAAAAAAAAACCTCTAAAAATATTCTTTTTTTATTGAAAAACCATAAAAAATTAGGCAGTATAAACCCTTTTTCGCATCGAGCGGGTACTTTTTTTTCAAATATTTTTTTACCATTTTGTAGAGAATAAAAAGCTGCACAACATATATAAAATTTAGCCTGGGATCTCTTAATCCTGAAACACAGCACGAGTTATACTGTTTATTTGAACTGATCAAAAGCATCACCCCTTGACTCATATTCGCTCTATAAAACTTCAATTGTTAGCAATTATATTATATCAATCTAGCTCATTTTATTTAGTTTTCAATTCTCTATCTTCCTATGTATACCACAAAAAATTTCAATGATTTGCTGAAACGCAAGCTAGCACATCTTTTATACAATATTTTTTCTTATTTTTCTACAAAAAGGCCCGATAGTGCCAAAAGTTGGTCTTGGCTAACTTTTCATAGGAAGGGTATTAGAACCTAAAATTTTAGGGTTAGTAGTTTTAGACATTGACGTTTTGAATGAGCAAAAAAAATCGAAAAAAAAATTTTATCGAGTGCCTCGTATACTTGATGCTCTCATGGACGCTCTCTTAATGATAAACTAAGAAAAAGAATTTTAAGAATTGAAAAATTATTTTATTAAGTAAATAGACAAATAAATTAATGAAATATGTTTATTGTAATATTCAATAAAATGAATTAACTCATTTGACAAGTTTATCGTGTCATACTACATATCTTTCGATAGGCAATCTACTTTTATTTATTTATTTTTTTTATAGAAATATTCATTATACATAAATTATAATTCATCAAAATACAAAATTTATTTTACACGTGTTCGTTTACTTTTATTTGTTGATTTTGTTCGATTATGACGTCTTGATAATGATGATTTTATTTCATAATCATCATCTTTATCATCTGTTGATAATCGACCGGGTGATAATGTTAAATTTGTTGATGATATTGATGGACTAGATGTACCAATACCTAATATATTCTTCTTTTTTTTTTGTTTATGTTCTCGTTCATTTGATTTATGTTGAGATTTTGATGATTTTGTACTTGCCATCGATGTTTGATGACTTTGATAATGACTATTTTTAGCAAAACGAGCTGTTATTATATCATCGGTTAATAATTTTGCACCTGAAAATAAAACACACACATATATATATACTAATGCTCAAAATTCGAATTTTTCACTTCATGAAATATAATAAAAAGAAACAGCGATTCTTCGAAGATTAGTTTTCCTTGATAAAACTGAACATTGACTTTATTTAAAAGAAAAATAACTTGTATTTTTCTCGACATAAACTTCAATATGAAGAAGCATTCGAAAATTGAAATGTCTAAATTCACAAATTATTCATTCAAAATTTCAATTTTATCAATCAGGAATAGTCGTTTTCGCTCTCTTATCAAAACAAATCTTTCTTAACTAAAAGCGGAATATTCTTGTATCTGACATGAATATTAATACAAATGCATCAAATTCTTCTCTCTGTCATATCCTGAATAATACAGTTTGTAACTTAACATAATTAATTATTTGCTTAATAAATTTTTTTCAGATATTGAAAAACAAACGTAATTGTCGCACATAAAAAATATAGGCTAAGACGTATAAACACATTTTTTTGGAATATGTTCTTGTCCCTGTATAATGAAAAATTCACGAGCGAGAACTCGAGCATTCTATTTTGAGAATGTCATAAGCGAGCATATGGTTAGCTTTCTTACAAACTCAATTATTCATATTAGAATTGTATGTGCTATTTTTTGATCCCACATAGCCTCACTGCATTAATTAAAAATGCATGTCTGCGTGGGTTCTTGTTCTTAGAATCTAGGAACGCATAAGAAACTCATATAAAAAAAGATAGGAGAAAAATTCTGGAAAATCATTCTTCAAGAATATTCTCACCTTTCGACCGTGATGATATGTTAGTATTATCATCTTGAAAATCATAAGGAGAAGATTTTTTTGTTCGAATTTTTTTCTTTTGTGTATCATTAATTGTCATTATAATAGGTTGACGTGCAATATCAATTTTTTTCTTTTGCTTTTTTGTTTTCGTATTTGTTTGTGTAAAAAAAGCATGTGTATCAAAAATAGCTGTCGAACTAAATAAAGGTGGCGGAGGTAATGGTGGTGGTAATATTAATTTTTTTAATTTAGTTTTCTTTTTTTTATCTTCTGGTTTCGGTGATGAACATTGATCAGGATCAATATGCTTTAACAAAAAAATAAAATAAAGATATAAAAATAAAAAGTGTATAACATACAAATGACATATGGCTCATATTTCCTAATGTTTTATTAACAAGACGATGTGGCTTTACAATCGTATCATCAACAGCTAATTGAAATGGATCCGATGGTGTTAATCGACATCTAAACAATAGTCAAAAAAGTTTTTATTGAAATTTCTATTAAATTAATTTACGAATTCGGTGGTGGTGGTGGTGGTGTTTGAAATGGAATGATTATTTCATCAATTAAGGTCGGTGGTACTGAAAAACATATATAAAATAATAAGATAAATATATTTTTATGTAGATTACATACAAGGTGGTATAAATTCATGTTCTTTGATTTCATCAATAATAATCGGTTGTTCATCATGAATGATAGGTAATGGTTCGTTTGGTATTGAAATATTTACAGTTTGATTATATTTAAATAGATCTTCTTTATCACGTTGAATTTGTAATTTTCGATATGCATCACCAATACCTTTTCTCCATTGTTGTTCAATAGTTAATTTTAAACGTTTTCGTTTTTTTCCATTATTTATAAGTTGTGTTTTTATTGAAAGTTCATTAGAACGAGCATGTAAATAAGCATTACCAATAAGAATTTTTGGTGTAAGATGAATTAATTGTTTTTTTATACGATAATATTCTTTAAATATATGTTTTTGTTCAGTTTGACATAAGGCAATACATGAATTTAATTTCTAAGAAACAAAAAAAAAATTATTCTAATAAATTGTTAGAAGAAAATAAAACGAACTTGATCTATTTGTGTAAAATTAATAGGTGTCATTTGTTTAAATATTTCAATAATATCTTGTTCAACAAGATCTATTTGACGACGTAATTCTTTACAATGTTCATGACGTTGAGCAAGACGTAATTCATTTGTAATACGGACTAAAATTTTTTGTTTTACCAAAATAATTAAAAAGAAAATTTTCAATTTGACTTACTGCGATATTGTGTAAATAGTGATGGCTTCCATGGCCACCATTTTTCTTCTATTGCCATCGTTACGCAAACAATTATTATTATTTGAACAAAAAAGAGAACAATTGATGAAATTATACATACATAAATTTTTGAACAAAGACCCGCGTTGATCAGCTGTTTTGATTAGTTTATTATTGGTTATTGATAATTATTAGATTATAGAAAATAAATAAAAATTTATGAAGAAATAGAAATTATATGAAGTTTTTAAAAATGTTCTACATAAAAATAAATAAGTATAATTTTCGCTAGAGGCCGCTTTGATACACATATCAGATTATGATGCTAATACAAAATTTTCTAAGGCTGTAATAAATGATTTATGGATAACATATCGACATATTTGATTCATAGGCGGACAAATACCTGTGAATCGATCATTCAGTATCATGTGCGCTACCAAAAAGCTTTGGTTACGATAGGGAGAAAGTCTCCCAAAGATATAGAAAAACCGTTCATTCATCAGTTTTTTTTCAGAAAAATATATTCTCAGCAGAAACTTTCAATACACTCATTATCCATAGTAAACAATTTTACCTTCGTCACTATTTCTCTTAATAAATTCATACAGAACTTTTCTGATTACTAAAAAAAAATTTTTTACATCGCCCAAAAACTATCTATATCAATAGTTTTTAAATTAATATTCATTTTAATAGTTGTATGATATAAGTGAGGAACAAAATGAATCCAAATTTAAACTTTACTGTTTCAATTAAATAATTGAGCATGTATTGCCTATGATATTCGATGAAATTGTTGTAAACATCATTCGATAATCCAATCATACTTTTGACTTTTATCTTATCTTCTGTCTTTTTAATATATTATTCTTTAAAATATGACCTAATTTAGATTCTCTTTGAACGAAAATAACTGATTTTCTTTAAAAAAACGTGCAAATAGAATTTCGCTTTTACATAGACAATCTGTTTCATCAAACTATGAAAGATGTTAGTTATCGATAACAGGAAATTTCCATAGAAAAATTTTGAAGGAAGAAAATCATCCTGCTTTTCCTAATTGTATGTATTGATGCTACTCAGATCCAAAAGGTACAATCATAAGCGGCCGTATACTACGCAATACACTAAAAGACGGTCGTCATATATGACTATCGTATACCATGAATGTATACGACTCGATACGTTCACACACGGGTGTGGATGTGGATGTACATGTTAGTGAGTTTTGATCTCCTAATAAATCACACCCACAATCTATACATATATGGCCTGATCTGTAGCTATTCGAAGCCAGAGCAGGTCAAGTCACGAGATAGATGTGAGCCTTCTAATAAATCACATCCACACCTAATCCAACCTATTTTGACTCGGAATGCCGACAGCCTAGGCTAAACATCACAATATGACTTGCAAATTAAACCAGACCGATTGATATTCCTGCTTTTTTTCGAACACATTTAATTCTATGACTCTATATTAATGTATCATTCTAGTTTCAGTTGTTCACTGAATTTATTTTCATAAAGATGAGATAATAGCAAATTAGAACAAATAAACAATCATCATTATGCAAGAAAGGCTCGAGTTACCGCAACGTTTTTTTTTTGATTATATTAGTACTATTTCGTATAATCGAAAAAACTGTAATCATGATAATAAAAACAACAAAAGATCAGACATACAAGGAAAATGCAGGCAATGAGTGGTACTTATAATAACAAGCAACGACATTTACACATTTGACAATCAATTTTTGCGACAATATGAACGCAAAATTTACTATCCTATTGGTTTGGATCTAAACAAATACTTCTATCAGTCAATGCAAGTCCTACAACACTAAGCTGATATTCGGTTCAAACATTTGTCCCTAGAATCCAATGAATTTATCAAAGCACTCTTGAATAATAAGGCAATGTATTAATATTTGACTATTAAAGCATAAGACTCAAATCGGCAGCTCTGGTCTATTATTTACAGTCATGCTTTGATGAAGATATGATTAACCTTTTGTTTTCCTCTTTTCTTATTGATATCTCTTCTTGTTTTTCTGCTCTTTTTTTTTGTATTCTACCATCTTGATAAGCACTATAGAGCATAAAACATACACATAAACAACAAGAAAATCTATTTAACTTTTTTTCTACAAGCATTACAATAATTTTCTCTGACAAAAGATACGATATTGTAACTTTGTTTGTTGCAATTGTGGAATTCATAAGACTTTCTAAATTTCAGACTTATTATCATTCGTTGATTAAGCATAAATCTAGATATTTCAAAAAAAAAAACAAAATTATTCAAGCATGTTCTCCATCATTTTATGTCCGTTTGACATTTAATAAATTCTTAATGACATAAGCAGCAACAGCAATAACGAACAAAAAAAAGAAAAAGGAAATAAAGCATGAAGTCTAGTTTAAAAAAAAAATTGATGTTAATGTTTTATTTAGTTTTGTATTCAGAAAAAAAAAAATGTGAACTAAGTATGAATGTCCATCATATCGGCAGTTGTTTGTAATTCACCTTCAGATGGTTTTGCAACATGAATTTTTTCTGGATACATATTATCAAGTACATGTATACCTTTTTCATCAATTATTCGTACAAATACACAATGTGGATAAGCAGCCATACGTTTACCAAGTTCATTAACTATAATTTGTAACATAGCTAATGCTTCTTCAACAGTTAAATCTTCTTTCCAGAAACGATCACCAATACCCAATGCAAAAAATTGACAAAAACCATGAGCAACAACATTAGCTGAAACCATGGCACCTAAATAATCAATTGAATAAAGTTGTACACGTTGTTGATCACGTTCATTTGTTGAATAACCACCAACAATAAGATTAGCTAAAAATGAATTTCGTGAACGAAGTGATGTTGCCATTTCATGACGAGTAAAATTAGCACATGCATATGGTGATAATTCAATACCATTAATCATTTTGTATAATTGAATATTTTTACCAACATATTCTGCAAATTGAACAACATCACCTGGTTCACCAGCTAGAAAAAAAAACTATATTAGCAAGAGAATTACCTAACCAAATACCCGTCATTTAAACTCATATTATCCCTATAAGAATGCCTTCGTGAGACTAGAAGAAGCTTAAAAGGGTTTATACTCATGCTCAATTGTAGGCATATACCAAAAAATTAAATATATTTCATAAAAGATGAAAAGTAAAGACATGGAAACAGCTGCAAAAAAAATATATATGAAAATGGTGATGGCCCAGCAAAAATTTATCGTGGTTTAGGTAAAGTAGTTGCATTAACACCAATTAAATCATGGATTCGAATGATCAACAACACCGGATCTATCAATCTATCACATCTTCTCAGTCGTCCGCACACAGTTCGAACGAAAGCTAATACTTCAAAGGTTAAATATCGTCTAGCTCAGAAGAAACGAGTGTCAACAAGACAATTAGCTGTTAAAATGGCTATTTCAAGAACAAGTGTACGGAGAATACTGCACGAAGATCTCGGTTGTTTCCTATACAAGAAAATCAAACAGCGAAAATTGACTGATCTTCAAAAAAGGAAATAGGTCAAATTTGCCAATTGAGTGGTAAATCATTATAACAAGAAAGACACCAAAAAATAGCTTTCTACTGATGAAAAGTATTTTGATTTATATAGAAAAATGATCTGGAGTGGGCTGCCGGCAGGAAAGAAGCTGACAATATAGTGAAGGTTTAATAACATCAGTGAGTTTTGAAAATAGTACTATCAATGCAGAAAGGTACATTAAAGAAGTTCTTCTAGTAACTCGTAAATGCGGCAATAATATGTTAGAAAACCACTGGACATATCAACGAGATGGGACAAAACCTCACATATATCATCTAAGCCGAAAGTAGTGTGCTAATCCTGATCATTTTCCTATATTCATCAGAAAGAATCACTAGCCATCAAATGCATCTGATTTATGTCTATTAGATTATAGTTTATGGAAAATTCTAAACATCTAATCAGAAAGAATACAATATTATAATTACAATTCATTACTTTCAAATCATCCTCATTCGATTTAGACTTTCAAAATATTTATAATCAATATTGAATTGAAAATAATTTTTTCTAACTAAAAAATATTTCAATTCAATCGAAATCTTACCAGCAAGCATAGCACAATGTTCACTTAATTTAAATAAACGATTTGTATCGAATTTCATATTAAGAATACCATATTTTGTTGTATTAGCATCTTGAGCTAACAAAACAAAATCTTTACCACGAATACCAATTATTGATTCGACCATTTTTTTTTGTTTTGTTCAAATATATATTTTATAATCTGAAAAGTAAGAAAAAAAAAGAACAACAAATAAAACCTAGAAGCTTAATCAAATAGAAAGAGAAAGACAATACTACAGGAAAAAAAAACTGAGAGCAATATAACAGAAGAAAACAATCTACCAAAATTTCCAACTACTCTTTTTCTCTTGTTGATTTGTTGTTGATGAACTATAATCTGTTGAAAATTCCGGTGTTTGAAGACCCATATCAGGTGTACCCAATGAAAAATCAGTTGATGAACTAAATTCATTTGATTTCATTGATGCAGCAGCACCTTCTTGACCAAGTTTATTAATAATATAATTACTTGAATCAATAAAACGTTCAACACAATTAGCTAAACATGTTTCAGTTCTTCCATCAAGTCTTGATGATATACTTGGTGCACATAATTCCCAACATTGTTCAGTTAAAGAATGTACAACAGATTGAAAACGTTGTTTTTGATTTTCTTGTTCAATAAATGATGCTAAATGTGCATCACCTATACCTTGACTAGAATTTCCTGTTAAATCCATTATCTAAAAAACAAAACCAATTCTTTATTCATTGTTTTTTTTTCCCTTTAATATAGATTTATATTAATAAAGAAAAAAAAACAAAAAAAGAAGAATTTATCGTTGCATAACAATTAGAGATTTATCTTTGTACAAGAAAACACACACACACACACTGTTGTTACAAGACGGAGACACAAACACAAAAAACGATAAAAGAAAAAAAAAAGAATATTTATTTGTCAAAAAATTGTATTAAATTATTTATGCGATTTGGATTGCCAGCTTTTAATGCTCGTATTGAATCCTATAAAAAAAAATAAAATAGATTAAATTAAATTTTTTTTTTAAATAAATATTGAATTTACTCGTTCAATAGCATGTGTATTAGTTTGTGTTGTAGTTTGTTCAAACATTGATTTTCGATTCGATCGAATATCAACAGAAGATATCGGTTTCCGAATTAAAATTGGTGATTCAATAGAAGAATGTTGTTCAGATTCATCTTGATGTTTTTTTTCATTCGAAACCGATTGACTAAAAATAAATAAGTTATATTTTTCAATAAGGAAAGAAAAAAGGATAATTGTATTTTTTATGATGTGTGTGACTTTTAACATCTGATTTAAGTCTTTTATTATAATTCAGATGAAAGTAGAGGATGGAGATTACTTTGTTTTAAAGTAGAACTCATTGAATTCAATGGAACTATACTTTGGTACTCTCAATGAAGTTTTCTAATCAGAATTGTATAGGGATGATCGATAGAGAGCGTCGAGTTGGTTCCGAATCCGATCCTACACATTTCTCAGACGACTGGAGTCCGTCCGATCCAAAATTTTCGGACTCAAACTCTACGCGGGATCAATCCGATGAATAGACAAAATTTGTCATCGCCTTCTGCACTTCGGATTATCACGAAATCTAATATTGAAATATAGAAGGATCAAAACAAACTCTCAAATCTCTCTCGATATACAATAAAAGATCTTGGATTTTCTATTATGTTTTAACGTAGAAACTTTTTAGATGAATTCCTATCCATAAAGAATCAAATATCGTTACCCTCAAGAATTTTATTTTTTCATAATATTTGAGTAAACATACTAATTCATTTTCATATTCATCAACAGATCGAAGTAATTTTAACACTCGAATTATCATTAGAATTGTCACAATAATCAAAATATGAATCATTCTCTTTTCTTCGTACTATTTATAACTCTCTCTCATTTACACTCTAACTGACAATAGATTTTTTCTTCTTCACAGAAATAATATTGTAAAAAAACACATCAGTTG